ACGTTGAATGCCCGCGTTGTTGGTCAGCGGGCAAACAGGTGGTCGAGTTTTCGTTAACTGCCGGTTCAATGTGTAGAGCGACGCGTGCTGTTCGTCAGCCTTCCATATGCGCCGCTCCCAGGCCTCTCCTCTGTGGGCCTGTATTGCAACCGACAGTTCGTCTGATAAGGTGTTAAGTTTCCTTTTTACTCTAGGGCAGCGAGTAAGCGCCCAGAGCTTCCTCAGCGCTCTTTTATGGTTGAGCTGCACGCGTAGTCTTAGCGGCAACTCCTCTTTTCCCCCCTGAGAGGGACGATCGTAGAGGCCGCGTTGAGGGCCTCCTGGATGCACGTGGATATTCTAGTTGCAGCGGCCTCTACGTCGTCCGCTGAGTTGATCTGTGTATGGACTGGAGGTCTCTCCTGCAGGTGTTGATGGTAGAGCCTCCAGTCGATCTTGGTCTTGACGGCTCTGGGCGGTGAAGTCACTGCCTTAGTGCCAAGGGTTATCAGAATCGGGAGGTGCTGTGTATTCAAGTCATACAGCACTTCTACCACTACTGGGTAGTTGGCGTTCCTAGTGAGCACGATGTCTAATACATCCGGACGCTTCCTAGGGTCGCTAGGGATGTGCGTCGGTTCCTCGGGACCTAGAACGTCATAATCATGGTTTTCAGCATCTTCATAGAGTTCACGACCCGGCGGGGTGATCACTCTGGACCCCCACGCCGGGTGTTTGGCGTTCAGGTCCCCGGCGATGATGGTGGGTGCCGTATCTTCCATTACCGTCCGGATGTCTGAGGAGTGAAATGGAGTCCTTGGCGGGCGGTATGCTGCAAAGATCCTTAGTTCCTCGCCCGCCGCCTCCATTTTTATGCCGATTGAACGCGTCGTCTGGAAGTCTGGCAGATCCAGCTCCTGGTGGACGATGTCTCTCCTCACCAGTCTGTCCCTCTATAAGCGACCCCTTGAGGATCGACCTCGTCCCTCCTGTATATGGTGTAATTGGGCAGCTTAAGATGCGTTGTAGATCTTAACTTGGTTTCACCCAGCAAGATCACCTTTCACCCAGCAAGATCACCTTTCACCCAGCAAGATCACCTGGATGTCCTGTTGCTGGGTGACAGTCCGGACTTCAGGATGTTAGGAACCCCTGTCCCATGGCAAACTAAAGCCAAATACTTAGGCGTCACCCTTGATGCAAGGCTCACTTTCGAGCCCCATATCAAGAAGGTTACTCGCACCGCACGATTTTACATGGGTAGGCTCAACAGCATGTTGGGCGGACACAGTAAAATATCCCTCCGCAACAAGCGAACCCTATATAAGGTCTGCATACGACCTGTCATGACCTACGCGGCCCCCATTTTCGCACATGCTAAGCCCAAAGCTATAAATGAACTTCAAATAGTCCAAAATCTATTCTGTCGTAGGGCCACTAACTCGCCCTATTATGTTCGTAATGCCGACCTACATCGAGACTTAGAGCTCCCAACAATCTAGCAGTTCCTTAAATCACTCTCTGAGAGATTTTTCAAAGCCTCAGAGTCCCACCCAAATCATCTCATTCGTGAGACAGCTGCCTATGCAGCCCTTATCCACACTCGCTATAGTGTGCGCAGACCGAGAAACTCTCTCTCGGACCCCAGCCCCACCCAACAACCATTCGGCTGACCTGAACTGCCTCCTGGCGGCTCAGGCCGAGCCTACATAATATTCATCCCTTAATCTGCCTTAGTTAGGCACTCTTCTAAGCGGCTTTGCGCCGCTTGCGCCCTCCTTTCTGCCAAGGAGGGTCGCGTTCGTATACGGCTTAGAGATCTCTAGTTAGATCGTTAAGTCAGTTCCTATAGTGGGTAAAAGTCACCACATAACCACGCAGACGGCTGCGTGGTATGCTATGAGCATTCCCAACCTCCCTCCCCCGCTTTCCGGAGGGTTGCCCAAATTTGCTTCGGGCGAAAAAAAAAGTCATTGCTCTAACGCGGCACGGTTCACTTGTTGTGTCCCGCTACTTGCTCATCCTAGACTATTCAGATAACCCGAACTGCCGCCGCCGGCACCAATGAAATTATTAATTGCAATTCTAAGTACTGTTGGACCAAACTGCACACGGTGTGCAAATTTGATAAAAATCGGTTAAGTAGTTAAGGAGTCCATCGAAGACAAACAACGTGACACGGAATTTACATATATTAAAATATATTCTATTAATGACCTAGTACCATGTTCCTTCAGTACTAATATCAATCCAACTGACCCATTGCTGCTGCATCTTATTAACTTACGATCTAGGCTCTGGCGACTATGAGCAGTTCACCCATTCGAGTATACCGACCTTAAATTTCTTAGAAATTATATAAATAGAATTATTGAAATATAATAGAAATTTCTTGCTTATTTGCACAGGGGTGATTGCAATTCGAACAGACTTAAGAAATAACTATAGTTCAAAAAACTAAAGTAACACTCTAAAGGTGAAATATTTTATTTTAGCACAAGTACAGAGTTGCATGTCAATTTTTCCGCCGTATAAATTGTACAAAAATACGGTCACTGTATTATTATTATTTTATAGAAGAGGGGGCAAAAGAACACACGGCTCTTCTGATGGTAAGTGACTACCGCCGCCCATGAACAATTGCAACACCAGGGGGATTGCAGGTGCGTTGCCGACCTTTTAGAAAGATCTTTTCTTGAAGGTCTCTAGGTCGTATCGGTCAGGAAAAATCGCCGGTTGTAAACTATTCCACAGAGAGGTTGTACGTCCCGTGGTAGGCGCGATAGAAAATTCAAAGGAATGCAACATCTCTTCGCAGCGTCAGTGAATCGAGTCGATCGAAAAGCACTGGTTGTCAACTATTCGAGCCGCTCTACGCTGGATGCGGTCAAGCGGAAGTAGCTGGCACTGTGAAGCCCCGGCCCAGAGATTGTCTGAATTATCACTGTTATCGCAAATTTAAAAATTCGCAGTAAAGATTGCAAAAATAATTATAGCCTTATACTTCAACAGTTTTAGTAAAGAAAGTGCCTGTTGTGGTGATCCACTACGTATTGCCGGATTTCACATGACCCCAAAAATTTTTATTCCATACACATGCAGGTTTCCTCACGATATTTTCCTTCACCGTCGAGGGCGTGGTAAATCAACACTTAAAATTTCAGTGGTGCCGGCGCATGACTGATCCGAGTTTCTGACGTTGGAAGACGAGCGCTTAGCCTTTAAGCTACTATGTTTGCAAGTATTTTATGAAATAACAAAATATTTAAAATAAAACAACACTAAATTTCGGCGCAACTGTAGCAAGAACAATTAAGGTAAAAGCGGACCATTACAAAAACTGTTAATTAGAACAAACAAAAAATATATATCCGCAATAAGGTCGTGAGAGTCTCCCACGGCAGCGCGCTCTATTCTTGCAATCTGAGGAATAATGATGGCTCCATTGTAACAAACAGCAGGAAGTCATTTATCTAACATCAAGAATATGAGTGTTTAGAACAATTTCGTGTCTGATTTCTCATCCTAAAGTGTGTAATTTTAGGTGACGCGTCACTACGTGAAGTGTCAACCAACTCTGTCTACGAGTATGACAAAGCATTTTGCTACAGCCGTATACAATGTTAACAATATGTAAAGCTGATCTTCAGATTTATTAATACCTTGTAAACCTATTGTTAAACTTGTAGTGACGGTGTAAGAATATCCACTACCCCGTATCATCCCCTGGGTGTCATAAGAGGCGACAGCAGGAACAGATCAGGAGATGAGCAGCAGCGTCTTTCTAATAGGTACTGACTAAAAACAAAAAATTGTGGTACCCAAGGAGGCTGACGGGGCTACGGCTCCCTTAGGACTGTGGACAAGAGTGAATACCCTTTTGTTTAGCTAAGTCAGTGCGCTTTGCCATCTTCAGCAGCGTCATCACTTGCCATCAGTAGGGATAGTAATTAAGTACTGTTCTAAAATGCAATTTAATGAAATATGTACTTAGTCGGATCACAAGTTCTGTCAACACCTTATTATTTAAAGTTTTTGAATACTGGTTAGAGGAACTCCACCAATTTTAAAAATATGACGTTTGCGCTTGCTGAAAATAAAAAAGACATTAATTTTCAAATATGGAGCGGTCGAAGAAAGAAGATAGAGTAGCGGTTTTCACGTTGCACCGCTATGGTTACGCGCCAAAAGAGATTTTCAATATCCTACAAAAATTGAAAATAACCTTACGATTTGTTTATCGCGCTATCAAACGATTCACTGAAGATTCAAGCTTCGAAGGTCATAAGAGGACCGGCCGACCTCGTACAGTTAGGACACCCTCAATCATCAAAGCAGTGAAGGCGCGAATCCAACGAAATCCTGCTCGTAAATAAAAAATTTTAGCTCTTCAGATGGGCATAAGCAGAACCACGGTCAAAAGAGTGATCAATGAAGACCTAGGACTACGAGCTTATCGTAAAAGACCGCACATTTTTTGAAAGAGCGTTTGAAAAAAAATTAAAGCTGGATAGATCCCGCGGTTTGTTACGACGGTACATCATCATCATATTCGTTGTGGACCGTGCTACTGAACAGACGTGCCTTAATCGCGCTCCCGTGCTGTATTGAGTGTACGTACTGGGAAGACTACGTGTTGCCAGTCGGCAATTCCGCTAAACGTTGAGCTCGCTCCGTGTAGCGCTGAACCGTCACTGGCATTCTCCGCAGCGAGCTACAAGTGACCTCACAAGAATCGGCATCAGCACTGGACATCCTTCTTGATCAAGAAGGACACTCTAGTGTATACACGCCCATCCCACCAGAGACTCGCACACCCCTCCCTGCTCGCGGGCGCCTCGCTGGGCCTCCCCCAGGGTCTCACCCGGTGTGGTAGCACGCGCTGAGGGGAGTAAGGTGTGCGACTGCTCAAGGGCAGTTCACTAATTAATTAATCAAGAAAATGACGGACAAGGGGGAACCCCCCCCCCACCCCCCGAAGACCACCAGATAGGCGACCAGGGGTTCTGGACAGACCCCTCATGGAAAGAAATCTATTCGATCCTGAGAAGTCACGAGTCATCCCCCCGGTCAGCCAAATCCCGAGACGAATCGGAAGTCCACCACTTAGTCCCACACCCATTACCAGCCGGGCTATTAGGACACTAAGCCAGGAATTGGCAACCACATCCCGCCTCGCAGTCAAACGCGCACCCCCACAACCAGAAGCAGACGAACTCCAAGACGAAAAGAGGCCCAAACCAGGGTCACGCACACCGTCATCGGGTGAAGAATCAGACTCATCTACTCCACCACCTATTCCGGAGAGGGAATTGGATGCTCCTATAACAAGACATATCAACCCACCAAAGTCACCGTCACCAACAAAGACCCTACCGGACATCCCAACTGAGACCCAAGAAATGGACGCAGAACCCGTGCCGGTACCATCGACAGCCCCAGACACGTACGCACGCATAGCGGCCGCGCCCAAAGCGACGCGACCACCATCTCCACGAACAACGGGACCAACACCACCCATTGAAACACCAACAGCGGCAAAGTATCCACCAATAATAGTGGAGTGCTTCCCAAACTGGGCGAAGCACTTCAAAATATTACATAACATAATTGGACACGCCCCAAACGCTCGCCCGTTTGGCAAAGGGGTACGCTTCCGGCCCCAATCGGAAGAAGAATATAGAAAAATCCAAAGATACCTCATCGAACAAAGCAGAGAGGACACCACCATCGCATGGTACTGTTATGCACCACGTGACGAACAGCCCACGAAGGTGGGAATAAGAGGACTCCTGCAGATACAAACCCACAAGACATCCAGGATGCGCTCATAGAAATGTGCTTTCCCGTCACATTCGTAAGAGCGATCCCACCTAAAAGGGGAAGACCCGGATGCCTATTCCACGTCAAATTGGACCACCTCCCCCCGGAAGAGCTCAACCGGCTCTATAAAATAAATGAGTTATTATACTATACATGCCGGGAATCGTTATAGAAGGCTGGCAGGGCAGAATTGGCCCTGCGCAGTCTCACAGATGCCAGGGATTCGGGCATGCATCAGTGAACTGCCACCGCCCCTTCAAATGCGTCCGCTACGCGGGTAACCACCCCGCAGCGGAATGCCAGAAACCGCGCGACGCACAACCAAAATGTGCCAACTGCACCAAGGCCCACGCAGCCAACGACCGCCGGTGCCCTGTGCTGCAGCGGATTACGAGAAAGAGAGGCATAAACCTACAGCCGCAGATGCCTCCACAAACAGCTAGAATGCCGCAGCAGCAACAACAATCACAACATCAAACCCATCAACAGCTGCAGCAACCTCAACAAATTCAACAACAACAACAACCTCAACCTCTAAACAGCACCCAACGCCAGCACCAGCTCCATCTGCGCACGTGACAACAGGGACAACACTAGCCCCACCAGCAAATGGTCCAACAGAGCGCAACATGGCCCCCAAAAAGAAGCGGAAGAGGAGGAAGAAAAAGAAAGCGGCCACTCCAGCAGTAGAAACAAGAGTGACTCTCCCCCCTCCCACCTATACCCCACAACAAACACGACAACAAGCAAATCAACCCCGAGAACAATACCAGCGAAAAAAGGCAACAATCGCCACACCCGCCACACAAACCCCATATATACCAACCACCGTAGAAGAAGCCCTCACGGAGGTAGTGGGAGTGGTCATCAAGATTTTGGGTGATGTACTAAACGCCATGACCACGGGGTCCAACCCCCTAACGGCGATATTAGGCGCCCTAGCCCAACTGTCAGCCATTAATAGAGGGCCAGCAACTTAAACTTTTATATTGGAACCCCGGAGGTATCGCCGGAAAAACCTCCGAACTCCGATTGCTGGTCCAGCAGTACAATATCCAGATTGTACTGCTGGGAGAAACAAAGCTGCGCCCCTCCGCTCAACTGAAGATTCCTAACTTCTTCGTGTATCGACACGACGAAGTGTCCCCTGAAGGTGTCGCGTACAGAGGTACTGCGGCACTAGTCAGAAGAGACGTAACAGAAGAAGTGGAAACAGACAATAACTTCGCCACCACAAGGACAAAAGGGATTAGGATGAAGGTGGGCACTAGAGAAGTCAGAATTTATGCCGCCTACAGATCACCCGGTGCCCAACTCTACCCCCAGGACATAAGAAAAATATTTGACGCAACTACATCTGCTATTATCGCTGGAGACCTCAATGCAAAGCATCCTGCTTGGGGCTCCACGATAATCACCCCTCCCGGGAAGAAACTGATTGAAGATGCAGAAGACTGGGGGTACGAGGTCCTGGGCCCAGACGAGCCCACCCACATCCCCACCAACCCAGAACACCAGCCCGATGTCCTTGACATAGTGCTGTGCCATAAAATGCCGTACCCAATACGGCTAGAGGTGCTGTATGATCTGGACACACAGCACCTCCCCGTGTTGTTCACCACCGATACAAGTGCCGACGCGCTAGTGCCCAGAGAGTTGAAAATGAGAACTAATTGGACCCCCTTCCGTAGAGCGCTGGACGACCTCCGACTCGGCGCCAACATACTAACCAAGGAAGATGTAGAGGCAGCGGCTCTACAACTAAATAATACAATTGAAGACCAACTGAAACTCCACTCACACCCTGTCTCTGCAGGGCGCCGAAGAGAGGAACTCCCACAACACTTACAAGCACGACTCTCCGAGAAGCTGAGACTACGGAAGCTCTGGGCACGGACGCGATGCCCACTTATCAAAAGAAAGCTAAACACCCTGACGGAAGAGCTGTCGGAAGAAGAACAGGGGGGGCAGGGGGAGTATAACGCCCAAAAAAGGGTGGAAATGATGGCACAGCACCTGGAAATACAATTCAAAACCAACCCCATAGCGGAGGGGTACACAGAACATGCAACAAGCATACAAGACCGCGTACACGAATACCTGTCGAACCCGGCGCCACCACTAAAGGGCAGTGACTTTATATCGCCAACAGAGGTAGCGCGCACTATCATGCGCCTCCCCGCCCGTAAAGCGCCGGGATTCGACGGAGTCACCACCATGGCTATTAAGCAGCTGCCAAGAAGGGGGGATAGTGGAACTCACCAGGCTGTTCAACGGCATTTTAAGAACTGGCCACTTCCCCAACACTTGGAAGAAGGGAAAAATCATCGTGCTACCAAAGCCGGGGAAGGACAGGAGGCACCCGGCTAGCTACCGCCCCATAACGCTATTGCCGCACATAGCGAAACTATTCGAAAAGATCCTACTAAAGAAAATCACGCCGCACATCGCTCTACGGGATGAACAATTCGGCTTCCGTAGAGCACATTCAACAACTGCTCAACTGGCCCGCGTGCTGCACTATCTTGCGGCCGAACATAACCGCGGCCGCATCTGTATGGGGGTCCTCCTAGATATGGAGAAGGCCTTCGACAGAGTGTGGCACGCAGGGCTAATCTTCAAACTAATCGAACACACCACCATACCGCCGATGCTTGTGCGGCTAATAGCGTCGTTCTTGGAGGGGCGGAGCTTTCAAGTCAGCCTAGAAGGGGCTGTCTCGGTAGCACGACCGATAGAAGCGGGAGTGCCACAAGGCAGCTGCTTATCACCTCATCTATACGCGGTCTACACTAACGATATCCCCACACTCCAAGACCAGCTGGAGGAGTGGGAAGAGGACGTCGTCCTTGCACTATATGCAGACGACAGTGCGTACTTCACGTCATCTCGTCGGGTGGAAAACGCTGCAAAGAAGTTGCAGCGACTGCTGGACCTGCTACCAGATTGGCTGGACAAATGGAGGATGGCGGTCAACGTCGGGAAGACCACCGCCTTTATGACCAGGCTGAGAAGGACACCACCAACACTGCAACTCCGTGGGCAGGACATAGGTTGGAGGACGACCATCACCTACCTCGGATGCCAGATCGATCGCTCGCTGCGAATGAACCCGCAGGTCGACCACGTCGTGAGACAGGCCAGAGCCGCGCGAGCGAAGCTGAACCCCATACTGGCATCCAAACTCCCAAGGAACACCAAAATAGGTATCTACAAGACCTACGTCCGCTCACGGCTGACATACGCAGCACCAGCCTGGTACGCGTTGACCACAGCCACTCAGCGCAAGAAGATGCAGGCCCAGCAGAACCTTGCACTACGAGTGATCGTGGGAGCTGGCCGTTACGTAAGAAACGACGTTATAGCGCGTGATCTCAAAATGGAATCCATCCACGAATTTGTGGTCCGTACTGCGAGACGGTTGTACGACCGCGCAGACAGCGGACCACATCAACATCTTCGCAATATAGCTCCGTTACACGCGCGCCCACCAGACGGGCGACCACTCCCACGTGAACTTCTGCGCTCACCGCCCGGCGAGGGGGACGCCGGGGACGAGTGAGAGTCCCGACACCAGAATAGATGGCGTGAAGTACGCAAAACATCAACACATAAACTGCGCCAAAGCGCAGTACCCAAGACCGTGAGAGCCGTGCCTCCCACGCGAAGAAGTCCGGGTAATGAGGGCTACCTCGACACCCGCAGGTCTTCAAAACCTAAGAAAGGTTAAGAAGAAGAACATCTCTCTACGGCGGTACGCGGAAAAAAAGTTTTTAACATCGAAGAAAGTTATAATAAACAAAATGATAACATACAACAGTGAAGAAGCTAGCACGCGTATTCCGAGGATTCAACGAGCACATTATCCTTCGTCATTCATAGTTTGGATTAGAGTCTCATATTCAGTCTTAACTAAGGTGTTTTTCTGTGAAAAAGGTGTAAAAAACCAGGGTCGAGGTGTACCAAAATACCGTCCTAACAAACATAGTGTAATCTCTTTCTTAAACAATGTTAAAAAACAGACATTGCATATTTCAGCAGGACTCTGCAGCTCATAGGGAAAAAAGCACGCAAAACTGGTTGACCGCCCACGGAATTGACTTTATCGGACATAAAGACTGGCTCTCTTCTAGTCCAGATTTAAGCTCACTGGATTATAAGATATAGCAATATTTGGAGGAGAAATTCTGCGCTAAACCTCATCAGAATTTGGAATCTGGATATGATTGATGAGTAAGAAAATTTTTTTTTCAAATGTATTTTTTTTTAAATTTGTTATCGATTTGAAAAGAGGTTCCACTGAAAGGAATTTCGTGGTATTTTATGATTTTATGTTACAATAACACCGCGACGGCCCAATGACGGACTTCATATAGGTTTGCGCGTTTACCGCTAAAAAGAACCCCTTCGTCGTATCTCCTCAGTTTCAAGGCACTTACCTTGTTGCCTCTGCCAGTATCGGAATCCTCGGCGTCGACATATCGAGTGGCGTGCAGTTTCGTGGTCACTTGGAAGAGAAGGCCAAATTGGCCTCCAAAAAGCTTGGCGTGCTCAACAGAGTGGGACAGTATTTCATGTCGGCTCACCGCCTGCAACTTTACAAGGCGCAGGTTCGGCCGCACATAGAATACTGTTTCCATCTCTGGGCCGGGGCTCCCCAGTGCCAGCTCCTTCCATTTGATCTTATCCAGCGCAGAGTAGTTCGAATCGTCTGCGACCGAGCTCTTTCCGATCGGCTTGACTCACTGGCACTGCGAAGAGATGTTGCATCTCTTTGCGTATTTTATCCTATTTACCACGGGTAGTGCTCTAAGGAATTCTTAGGACTAATTCCAGCCGCACAGTTTCACCATCGCACATCGCGACAAAACTCGCGATACCATCCATACCATCTGGATGGCTGGCGGGCGACCACAAAGCGATTTTAAGGGAATTTTCTTCCTCGCACAACTTCCTTGTGGAATCAACTACCACCAGAAATTTTCCGGACCGATACGACTTAGGGGCCTTCAAGAAAAGAACCTGTTCCTTTTTAAAAGGCCGGCAACGCATCTGTAATCCCCATGGTGTTGCAGCTGTTCATGGGCGGCGGTAATCACTTGCCATCAGGTGAGCCGTATTGCTCGTTTGCCCCCTCTGCTATAAAAAAAGTTAAGGAAATCACAGAATCATCCTTATCATAATCAGTCTGGCTGCCTCATTGGTCTAATAGGAGTTAAAAATGCGACTGCTGATCGTGAGGTCCTGGGTTCGAATCCCGAGTCGGACCAAAAAATCAGCTTATGAGTTTTATCAACGACAAATTCCAAGTAGCTGCCCGGTGTAAGGCGGTGTCACCCCCGTGCCTCGGAAAGCCGATCTCTGGTCGTGTCGGTTTATTGTCCCATCGAACTATAGAGTGAGGGAACAGAAGGTGCACCTGTGCTTGCGCATACACTTGGACACTAATACTGTCCTGCGTTGATGGCTAGTCTCCGTTGTAGCTGGCCGCCGAGACCGAAATTCGGTCTGGAGAACATTATTAATATTTTGGGGATTCTAAAGAGTATTCTCATCCGGTTGGGCTGAATAGATATATAAAAGGAAATGATAAATATACATTAATATATGTTATTTTATACTAACATAAATAAATAAATAATAGATAAATAAATAAAAGCCGAACCAGATAGAAGCCTTCGGCAGAGGAGACCAAACGGCCGAGGGTTAGGGGTAAAGGGAAAGAAATCGGCGGACGATATTGAGGTACACCGCGTTCTGCATTTGAGCCCAGAGCGGTCCGTCACAGAGTCACCAAAGAGGCTGTCCGAGATTAGCCAGTTCGCAGAGACGACTATAAGAATAATCTCGGTCGGCAGACCACATGTCGGTCACCTCATGAGC